ATACAGTGGTGCCCCGCATAGCGACGTTAATCCGTTCCGGATTAATCGTCGCTATGAGGAAACACCGCTATACGGAATGGAAAAAGCCATAGAAACACATTAAACTTCATTTAATGCATTCCTATGGCTTCTAAACTCACCGTTCAGCGAAGTTCCTCCATAGCGCTGTCATTTTCGCACCCTTGGTAAGCGAGGGCAGGGCGTGAAAACACTTGTGGTGGCCATTTTGGGTGTCCGGCGGCCATTTTGGAACCACCGATCAGCTGTTTCAAAAAAATCGCTATGCGAAAATCGGTAAGTGAAATGCTTATCGATCGTCGCAAAGCGATTTTTGCCCATCTAAAACATTGGTATGCGATCGCATTAGCAATCGCAAAATCCGCATTGCTATGCGGATTCATCGTTAAACGGTGCGCTTGTTATGCGAGGCATCACTGTATCTGTTTATTTGTTTTATTTACAGGCTGCCTTTCTCTTGACATGTATCTGTATGATCTACATAGTGTCAGGATTTGGCCCTCCACAGCACTCACCATATTTCTTCCTATTGCAGTTTGTTACTTTAGTCTGTCAAAATTATCCTCTCTATAACTAAACCTTCATGGTGTCCATATTTTCCTGTTTATTATAATTCACTGTCTTCCCAATATCCTCCTCCCGCCCCTGCCATGCAAGTCACTGATCCATTCTGTGTTCTGTCTCTGGAATTTTGTCTCTCCTATTCAGAGTCCTCTATAGCTGGCTTTTAGGGTTTTTTTTAATTTGAACATGAGAAAAGAAAAAAATCAACTTTTTAACTTCCTACTACTTTTCTATTCATAACTTTACAAGAACAAGCCTTATTTCAAAATTATTTAAGTAACAGATTCCCTCTCAGTTTCAATAGAAGGTTTTCTTACTCGCATTTTAAAAAACCACATATCAAACATTGTTATTCCCTAAAGCTTTATGTCCCCCCCCACCTTTAATAAAATAAGAGTTTTAGGGACAATTATCACTGTTTAATTTATGTTTCCTTTTTTCTAATTGGGCAGGAATGTTTTCACTAACAGACAAATTAAACCTTGCCTTAATTTTCCCATCGTCATGAGCGGGAAATGGGCACTTCCACATCTTTAGGATCCACCTGCGTTTGAGTTGGATCTAAATGCCATTTTGACGTGATTTGCAGCTAAAACACCGGTCACGTCAATGGCAGTTCTACCAGTCGGCCTGACATCAAGGCCAGGGAAAACTCTGGAACAGATTGTAAACAGTTCACTAGACAAGCACTCAGAAATAACTAGAAGCCGACACCGACTGGTCAAGAACAAATCCTGCCACCTAATCTGATCTCATTTTTGATCAGGTCACCTCCCTGACAGACAGAGGGAATGCTACAGACATTGTATATCTTGACTTCAGCGCAGCTTTTGGCAAAGTGGCCCATGAGCTCCTGATTAGCAAAGTAACTAGGTGTGAGCTGGATAGAACAACTGTCACGTGGGCACACAGGTGGCTATACAATCGTACCCAGAGGGTGATGACTAACGATTCCTTCTCAAACTGGGAGGAGGTAACAAGTGGGGTATCGCAAAGCTCAGTCCCGGGCCCAGTGCTATTCAAATCCTGTTTTATTAATGACCTGGATCGGGGGATACAGGGCTAGCTAATCAAATTTGTGGATGACTAGCTAACACCCTGGAAGACAGAAGCAAAATTCAAAATGGTCTAGATATGCTTGAGTACTGCGCTGAAAACAACAGAATGAAATTTAACAGGGATACGTGCAAAGTCCTGCACCTAGGAAAAAGAAACAACACACACAGTTACAAGGTGGGGGGAACCTGGCTCAACAATATTACAAGCGAGAAGGATCTTGGAATCTTCATAGATCACAAGCTGAATATGAGCCAACAGTGTGATGTTGCTACAAAAAAGGCAAATGCTATTGTAGGCTGCATTGATAGAAGTCTAGTTTCCAAGTCCCACGAGGGGCTATTCCCCCTCTATTCAGCACTGGTTAGGCCTCACCTTGAATCTTGTGCCCAGTTCTGGACACCACGCTTCAAGAAGGATTCCGACAAATTGGAACAAATTCAGAGGAGGGCTGCAAGGATGATGATCAGGGGGCTGGAAACCAAGCCTTATAAAGAAAGACTGAAAGAATAGGGCATATTTAGCCTTGAGAAAAGAAAAGTGAAGGAAGATAGGCTAGGCCAGCAATGGTGAACCTATGGCACGCGTGCCAGAGATACCACGCAGAGCCCTCTCTGTGGGCACATGAGCCGTAAGTCGCTGGATCGCTATCCCCCCGGCAGCCGAACCTTGGAAACTGTCTAGGGGCTGTTTGAATGGAGAAATACTTACCCGTCCTCCAATTCCGGATTTTGGCACTCCCCTCTGCTGGTGCAGCGGTCCAACAGAGGGGTGCGATGACGGCCATTACCAGTCTAGTCTGATGGGGCATTGGGAGACCGATAAGTATTTCTCCGTTAATACTGCCCCAAGGAGGAAAAAAAGCATTTAGCCCTTGCAGTGTAGGGGCAGCTCCACTGCAAGAGTTGAAAAAAATGGTTAGCCCAGAGCTGAGCTTTAAAGTTTTGTGGGAGCGACACCATTAGTTTCTGCACCCCTGGGTGGCACCAGGTGACGCCAATGGTAGCGATGCCTCTGCCTGCAACACCACCAAGTTGATTTTGTGTTGCAGTTTGGGATCAAAAAGGTTCATTATCACTGGGCTAGACTGTTGTACAGAGGAGGGGCAGGATCTGTTCTCTATCATTCCTGAATTCAGGACAGGCAACAAAGGGCTCAAGTTACAGGAAGCCATTTTTCAGTGGAATATCAGGAAAGACGTCCTAACTGTTAGAGCAGTACGGCAGTGGAACCGATGACCTTGGAGGCCTTCAAGGGAAATCTAGACAACCGCCTTGCAGATATCCTTTGATTTGTATTTCTGTACCGAGCAGCGGGTTGGACTCTGTGCTCTTAGAGGCCCCTCCCGACTGCAATTATCAGGATTCTAGCAGGGAAAGGACCTTCTTACATGGGAGGGTTCGAGGTGGCCTCTCTCACGTGGCTCCAGGGTTCCGGCGGTTGTGGCGGTGAGAACCTGAGGGCTCCGACGGGAGGTCTGGCAAAAGGGATCCCCAGGAAGACGTTCACAGGCTGGCTTGTGCCCTCCACACTGGCCAGCTTCCCACGGAGGCGTCCATATTTTGTAGCCACTTCCGGACGGTAATTTCCCTGACCTAGGAAAGAGGCACACGAGGGCAGGAGTGCAAGGCCTGGCAAACAACAGGGAGCTTTTAACCAGGGTCCTCCTTCTGTCCCATTTTCTGCTGTGAATGGGGAGGGGAAGGGAGGGGGACTCCTGGCTCACCCTCGTCTGGTTCCCTGACCCGACTCTTCCCTCCGGATCCTGGTCTCTCCCCCCCTCCCTCAGAACGTCCCAGCCCTGCCACCCTGTTGCCCCCCCCCCGTCCTGACATGGCCTGTAGCCCCAGCTCCTGCCGAGACCCACAGCTCCTCGAGGACCACCGCCCCACGCGCAAGTTCGTAGAAACAGGCCATGGGCTTCCGTCTGCGACATCCTCTTGGCAAATCAATTAAAATTCTTAAAGGAGGAAATATTTTAGCCCGAGTGTCCTGTCCTTAAAATCATGGGTTCTCTTGTCACCCTGACCACACATTCTCTCTTAAAAAAAAATTTTTTTTAATCAGCATCGCAGCCATACAACCCTGGAAGGCAACACTTTGGCCAAGAGGCTGGTCCCGTGTGAGGAGCCTGAGAAGGCACTTCTGCCGGAGAGCGGGGAGGGAAAGGAAGCCAGGGTTGCCAAACGGCAACCGAGCCCAGCAAAAACCATCCCTTTGTTGACGCGGTGTCTCTCAGTAGAAAGCAGGAGGAAAATAAAGCAGAAAAGGGATGTCGGTCAGGAGGCAAAGAAACCAAAACGAACCACTCCTCCAGGGCATAAGGGCTTGTTCGACGGGACCTGCCTGCCCGCATTTACCTTCCACGGCAGCCACCAGAAGCAGGCCAAGGACAGCTCCCCACCGCTGAAGCCTGGCCGAGGAAAACAGCATTTTCTCCCCACGCTCTGCTGCTTGGAACGCCTTGCTTTTCCTCCGCCTTGCTGTGAAGACTGTGCCTGCTAGGGAAGGGCAGGAAACACCCAAGGCGAGGGAGGGAGGGGAGGGGAGGGAA